CTGCCATCGATGCCCACTTTCCCACTCTACCCACACTTTTCCAGCCCATCCACGCCTGCTGTAATTTCCACACTTGTGCTGACACATTGAAAGGGCTTTGGGTTTTCATTGTACCCTGGCAAAGGGTGCTATGATTTTTGGCCAGACTTGGCACACACTATTTTTATTTCTCTGCAGGTAATATCAAAGACTATACAATGGGACCAAACGTAATGTCCCATAATACAATAACCAATTGAAGGTTTTTGGCATGACGAGACATATTTTCTCTGAGACTGGGACCGACTGCGCCTCGCCAGCTTCTAAGCTGGCCAAGGCATTGAGTAACAAGCAAAGCCGACTAATTCGATGGAAGCACACACAGCTCTGTGTGGGATCAAAGCAAATCAGAGAAGAATCAAAAATAATCCAAACTAGATCTTATTGGTGTCGAAGGAATCGGAGCCTTTTTTGTTCCTAAAGATAAGCCAGCCCAAACTCAAATACCTGTAGTTCCAAGTGTTTCTTAGTTAAACTGTATCGTAATCACAATCACATATCTATTAATTTTCGCCATCTAAAGGGTATTAAGTACGTGGCCTTTCAAAGTTGTCGGTTTTTTTCTGGTTATTTATGAATTGAGAAATTGACATCCTGCCAGAAAAGGGAAGGAGGCGTTAAGGAGGCTTAGGCAGGGCTCTCGATTTTTATTGCCGCTGCTGCCAAACAAGAGGCTTAGGAAAAGGCGGAGGCAAAGGCACCAGGCATCATCCTCCTCATCCTCATCCTCATCATCATCATCCGCATCCGCAGCCACATCAAATGAACAAAACTGCATGAAATGAGGCACGAAACATCAGAGTTTTCTGTGTGTGTGTGTGTGTGTGTGTGTGTGTGTGGCACTTGCTGCTACTGCCACAACCCGTGTACCCTTACTCGCACCCACCCCTCAATGAGGATAAATCGAGCGTGAAATATACCCGCTTGGACAGGAGGACAGGGGAACAGGGGAACACGCGGAGATGTAGAACCCATTGTTGTGCTTTCCACTTGTTGGCAGGTTGGATCCTGGGTCCTGATGAAGGATGAAATTTGCGGTGCAGTTGCGCAATTTGTTCGCTGCCTGCTGTGATTTTTCCCATTGTTCCTGTGCCGTGTGGGTGGGTGCTGACTGATTCCTGATGTCCTTGTCCATCAAATTGAGCGTCACTCAAGTATTCAAGTGCCTGTATGTGTCTCTGCCCCTCCCCCGTCCCCCTCCCCATCCCCCTCGCACTCCCCAAAGCCCACTGCTTGTTTTCCATCCATCCTGCAGATACTTCAAAGATTTAATAATGACATAAGAAGCGAAGCTATTAAGCCAGGAGCCGCCCCTCACGAGTACCGCGTCGGAGGCCGCGTCGAGTGTGTTTGCCTTTGCGATTCTCCAGGTGCCAGACACCCATCGATGCGACAGGATGCGGCATCTCGAGCTCAAATTAGTAGCAGGGCAGCCAAGACTCCCTTGTCCGCAGAAAGGAGGAGTCACTGTAGCCATTGTCCTTGTCCTGACTGGGTCCTGGTACTGCTCCTTGTAGTCAAAGCAATTCAAGTGTCAAATCTTTTATTTGCCTTTTGCAGATTTCGCAATAAAAATTTGTATTGTCAAAGTCTGCGCTCATCCAAGCCCAATCCACAATCCCAGTCCCCCCAATCCGAGCCCGAGTATCCTTCTCAGCCAGTGCAGCCAGCCCCTCGCAAATTTTCACTCCCTTTTATGCTCCTGGCATGTCCTTTGGTCGTTTGTTTGCGTGCAATAAATTTGCTGACAAAAGAAGGATTATTGCTGGATCATGCCGCTGTCGCCGCTGCTCAGCCTGAGCAGGATGTGGCTGTGGCTGTGGCTGTGGCTCTTCCCTGTGCGGCTTCGGTTATTGCCAGCGTGCATTCCTGGGCGTTATTGTTTGCCCATAAGTTAATTGTTCGCCGGCGAAAGCTTGAGTGCACCGCATCCTCACGCTCAACTGGCCGCCAAAAAGTCCTCCATCTTCCGTCCTCCACCTCAGGACTCATGCTGTGCCCAAGCGATGATTAACCGTAGACAGACAGGGGATATGGCTGTCGATGGAAATGGATATGGATATGGTTACGCTGAGGAGTTGGGTTGCAGTTTGCAAAACTCTAATTGCCATGGAAACTGGTATAAAGGATGCGGCTAAACGATGGAAAGTGGATTGACAGAGGAAATATTCTTGATAAATGCAAGCTGGCTGTCATTAGGATTAGATGGATTAGATCTACGACACCATCGACATAGCCAGTGGAGTGGAGATGTAGATCGAAACCTGCACACTTTTTGTAATTCAAGCTACACGAGGAATAATTGAAACAATAAAAAGCTGCAAGATCGATTTAGATTCAGTGCCCGTACTTATTCCTTTAGACGGTGGTCATCTCTGTTATTTTGGGTCCACTACATAAAGTACTTGTGGAATTTATTCCGAAACGGCGAAGTAAGCTCCCTCTATTGTAGGAAATTTGTGAACAGACCCGATTCTGATTTTTGATTTGGTAAAAAAAAGTCTCCCCGAAATCCACATATAAGACCATTTGTTTGGGCATAAACAAGACAAAGGGAATGCCGCAATAAATTTTCGGCAACAAAATTGGAAACGGCCACAATTCCTAATCCCCCCTGCCCCTCCATTCTTTTGGCCCCTTCCCACCACACCTAGCTTTCTATCTATGTATCTAATACCAATACAATTCCAAACGGATAAAGATACATAACAAAACGCAATGCCACGCCCCTCTCTCGAGCTGGCCAAAAACTCATTGATTCGTTAGTGTAACAGAATGTAAGAGAAGGGGGGCAATAAGGAGGGGTTTCATAGCGAGGGGGATAGGGGTGGCAGCAGAGGGGTAGGTGGGGAGACATAGCTGAACAGAATTGAAATAATGAAAATGGATGCCAAGTGAAAAAAACGATATCAATATTGTCCTCAATGAGAAGATGCCATGGCGGCCATTATTCTGTGTCTCTCTGCTTTGTGTTTGTGCGTTGGTGTTTTGTCCCATGTGTGTGTGAGTGTGTGTGTGTCCGTGTGTGTGTGTGTGTGTGTGTGTGTGTGTAACTTCCGCAAAACTGGAAAACTAATTTGAACAAAGTACAACAAATAAAAGTGACTACTGAATGTTTAATTTGAAAAGGGAGAAGGCACTGAACACTGAACAGTGAACACTGAACAGTAAACACTCTGCAACAAAAACAAGAACAATAATGTCTAACAACTGGGGAACAAAACGAGTGAAAGGCCTAGCCTATAGTCGATATACCGACTAAAGAATACCCATTAATTGGACAAATTCTTCGCAAAACATTTGGAACGTTATTCTGCCTCTAAAAATGATCTTAATGAATAAAAGAACCTGCAATTTTTATTTCTTCACCAAGAATAAAATTGCATTATTTATGCCATTTATTTGCAGCTGTTTTATCTAAAAATATTTTATACTTAAAACTCCAACAAATTGAATATAAAATAAATTATTTATTTTAAAGTGTTTTTTATTTGGATCAAAAGTTTTTTTTAATATTTTAATATTTTATATTTAATTTCAATATGTTTGTATCTAAAACCCAAATGTTTAATTTAAATACGGGTGTATTTAAATATACTATTACATACTTTATCTCTCAGTGTTGATAGTTAGATAATAGCCTAGATAATTCACTTTTTTCCCAAAACTGTCAGAAACAGCGAACATGAAAGAAACTACCTTATTGGCTTTATTCAGGTTAAATTACTAACTACTAATATGATATCAATGGTTTTGTAAATCATTTAAACATTATAAAAAATGGATTATAATATGTCAATTAAAATGATGTCTAGTTGATCGAGAATATATGCACATTTCATACCCACTTGAATACATTAAAAATAGCATATCCCCACTGGGATCTGCGATAAACGGGGTATAACAGCGAAAATGAAAAGGAGAAATAATACAAAACTCACATAGATACAAATGCAGCAAACACATGTACACAGAATATCCTCCCGCAGCCACTCGTCCCGTTCCGTCCTCCTGCGCCAACGCTCCCCTTATTGTGTTGGAGAATGTTGGCGAAAATGGCGCATTCCCGAAGGCGGGGGCGGGGATGCGGGCTGAGGAGACCTGAGAACGAGAGCCCCCGCAGAATGAGAGAAATCGAGAGAAACGTCGACATACGGTTAGAAAAACATTCGCACATAAAAATGCTAACATTTGAATGTGGGCAGGGAGGGGTAGGCGTTTGCTGGTAAATGGATGCCTGAGAGGGAAGGCAAGGCAGTTGGACGGCTGGGCGGTACCTCCATGTGGCTGACATAATGAAACATTATTAAGAGCCACGACGTCAAAGCTGCAAAAGGTATCTAAAATTTGCGCAAAATGTTTATCCTCCCCTCAGACTCTAACCCTAGCCCTTGCTCCTGTACCTCATCCCTACTACAGCCTCCACCCCCCCCACCCGCTCCTTCCTCATGAGTTTTGGCTTCTGCAGTCCGAGTCGCAGTCGGTCTCTCTCTCTGCCGCCTGCCAATTTGCCGTCGCGAATTTCACATTTGCAGAAGGAAAAGCAGCAAAACCAGGACGAGGACTCTCCACCATTTTATGAAATTACGTGAGAGAGACAGCATAACGATAGTGGGAGCGAGAGAAAGAGAGAGAGAGAGAGAGAGAGACGGAGACTGAGAGCCCAGCAGCGATACGCCAGAGAGGGATAGCCTGCTGGGCCATAGATTGGTTTACGGCTCATCTCATCCCCCGCCAGAGCGAGACGGAGAGGCTGTCTGCTGCAGGGATGCTGCCGACGCGACGTCGCGTTGTCGTAGAATCACAGTTATTCGAGATACGAAAACACAGCAGCGGCGACACAAAAGCCCATGGAAGCGTTAGCGGCAGCGGCAGCGGTTTTCCATAAAATAAATGTTTGAGTTATGTAGAAAAACATTTTGGGCGAGAGGATTTTCGTTTTCGTTGCGATTCAGTTAACATTTGGCAACCGGATTCCGCCTCAGACAGACACGACGACCGGACCCGTGTATCCATCCGTGTATCCTCGAGCTTCGAGCCTTCGAGTCTTTGTTTCCCCAAGCGTCATGTACAGTTATCAGTAAGCCCCGACGGAAACGGAAACGGATACGAAACGAAACGAAACAGTGTGCGAGTTGCTAGTGTAGTGACATGGCCTATTGGAAATCGAAATCAAACTCAATTCAAACTCCAATTCAAACTCAAACTCAAATTCAAACGCAAAGTGAATCTAGTGAATAAGCAAAATCGAACACAGTTCCTGAGTAAACATCAAAGCGAAAGTGTTGCGTCCTCTACCACATAAGAACCAAGAATAGAATCCATATAGAATCTAGACATACGATTATCATGCACACCAGCACGGATCCCATGCACACTCTGCACGACAGCGTCTCTCTGTCGCCGCCGTTGCACAAGAGTCAGCGGAGTGGCGGCGGCAGTGCTTCCTCGCGATCCGCCGCCGCTGTGGATGCCATGTCCATAGCATGTGACGATAGCGAGGAGCCGTCGGGCATTGGTGGTAGCGGCGGAGATGGCTGCGGCAACACAGGCGGTCCATTGGTGAAGCCACCGTACTCCTACATAGCCCTGATCACCATGGCCATTCTCCAGTCGCCGCACAAGAAGCTGACTCTCAGCGGGATCTGTGACTTTATCATGTCGCGGTAAGTAGTCGTAGTCCCTCCTGTCCGACCGAGGCAACTGGGGCATGTGCCGACGGCAACAGTCGATCGAGCGGGAAAATCGTAAGCGTCATTTTCCATTTACTTGCAGCTTTCCCTACTACAAGGACAAGTTCCCCGCTTGGCAGAACTCCATTCGGCACAACCTCAGTCTGAACGACTGCTTCATCAAGGTACCGCGCGAGCCGGGCAACCCGGGCAAGGGCAACTTCTGGACCCTGGACCCGCTGGCCGAGGACATGTTCGACAATGGAAGCTTCCTGCGACGGCGGAAGCGGTACAAGCGGGCCCCCACAATGCAACGATTCTCCTTTCCAGCGGTGTTCGGCACCCTGTCCCCCTTCTGGATACGCAAGCCTGTGCCCCTGGTCCCCGTGCACTTCAATGTGCCAAACTTCAACGGGAGCAGCCGAGACTTTGACGTGATGCACTCGCCCGCGGATGTTTTCGACACGGCGCTGCGGGCCGACAAGAAGTTCAACTTTTTCGCCAACGCCGAGGCATCCCTTTACCAGAACAGCCAGAGTGGCGGCAACAAGTTCGATCGCCTCTCCTTCATAAATCGCGCACGTGCTGTGGAAGCAGCGGATGCCGGGGCCGTGGATGCTCTGCCCCACAGCAGTGGCGGAGCTGGGAGTAGAGCCAGCAAGTACAAAAGTCCCTACCCCTTTGATGTGGCGACTATGGCCAGCGCCGCCGCTGGAATTCCCGGTCATGGCGAGTACGGTGAGCGGATCAGTGCTCCGGCCGGTGGTGGCTACATGGATCTCAATGTGTACAACGACGATGCGGAGGCTGATGCAGAGACCGAGGCGGAGGCAGAGGCGGACGACGATTCATGCGAGGGCAAGATCGATGTGGAGAGCGCCAACGAGAACGATCAGGAGGACTCGCACATATCGGACTCCGTTGACAGTGCGTGCACGAACCGTCTGGACGTGCCAGCGGATGTGCTGCTTTTCGAGCATGCCGAGGCCTCCAGAAGCCCTATAGTGCAGGCTCTCACGTCCAGTCCGAGGAGCCGCTACGACGGAGAGCCAGCGAACCTGCGGTCCATCAAGCAGAGCCATGCCAAGGACTTCCGCATCGAGACGCTCATCGGCCACCAGCACCGTCGCGCGGTCAGTCACGACGAGGCGAGTGACTAGGTCCTGACTCTCGATTCCTTTGGATCTTAGGACCACACCACCCCTTCCGCTTGGCTTATGTATATTTCATTCCACGGTGATTTCTGTTTCGATCTAAGCACGTTTTAACACACCCTAGTCCCTAGCCTTAGCACCTAGCCAGGTCCGACAGCCAGTAGTGATCAGTATCTGTAGGAGTAGTAGAATGCCAGAGCACAAGATTTTAATGCGACCAAATCAAACGCTATAGTTGCGAGTCCACTTACATGTATATCGGAATATATATAACTGTGTAAATCTGATCCATTGCACATCTATAGCATACTTTTAAAGTGAATTCTAGAGGTACATACATACATAGTACGTATCTATACATATTACATGTGTAGTACTTTATGTGTGCGTGTAACAAAAAGAGAAATACTATTAAATATTAATTAGACTCTAAGACCTTTGCTGATGTTATTGAAAATTTAATAAACCACTACATACTAACGAAAGGCAGTTCTCCATTTATAATCGAATTCGAGCGCGCGCTGCAGCCAGGGCTGCAGTCGAGAAACGACAGTGGTCTAACGGTAAAAGCTGTCAACTGTCAAATAAAGCGCATGCGCAGTAGCAGCCGCTCCGCTCAGCTCAGCGCAAGACAGCCACAAAGAGAGGCGATTGAAAACCTTGCTCACCAAAAGCTCTTCTTTGGCCGTAGGCCGTTGTATTCCAGTGTTAAAACATTAAAAGCTGCGCTGGAAAAAGGACAACAGTTAAATAGAAGATACCAACACTATTGGTATCCAGCAGAACATAGTACACCACGCAGGTCGCGGTGGATACGCCGTGAATACGAGTACTACTCCGTACGAACTCCACACCGTTTTGGCACAATTCTCCCCCACACGCACACACTCACGTCCGCTGCTTATACTCTACACACAATCGCACACGTTCCGTTCGCACACAGAGCAAAAAGTCGATTTTTCACCAACAAAAAGTGTTGTATATGTGGAAAGTTTTGAATTGCCAGCCATAAAATGGAACTGCAAGTGCAATAATCGAAGGTGGACGAAGTGCAGCGCTATCAGCAGGCGACAGAGAGGAGCACACGGCGAGCCGCCAGGGATGTGCACACTCCAACTCCACCATTGGGGCCGCTCGTAGTGCTGAGCTCATCGTTTGTATGAGAAAAGTTTGTATCAGCCACGCCACCCCCGCCAACGCCACAGCACGGCACAGCACAGCTCCTCCTCACCTCACCCTCCTAGTTGTACAACCACCAAGAGTCCCCCGGGTTCCAGTCGAACTGTTGTTCTGTGATGAGATGTTGGTGATAATAAGTGTGATTCCCAGCCCAAATGGTGGCTGTGGCTGTCCCCGTGCCTAGGCGGCTTTGGACCCGGACCCGGACCGAGGAGCATCCCACAACGGCAACAAAAACAAAAAGAATTAACGTCCAGAATTAGCCGATTGCAGCCTGAGTGCAGAGCAGCAACGGAGCGTCCAAGAGCATCACAACGACAACAACGAGGAGGACCCGGCTCCGGACCCGGACCAGGTCGAAGATTAGGCAGTGCACATGGCGGGCGGGAGGGTCCTGTGCGCAACGCTGCTGGCCTGGCTGACGTTCCTCACAGGTGAGTGCGCGGATGCAGACTCGCGAGTGTGGGGATTATCGCAAAAACCACTTGATTCCGGTCACTAATCCGTTCTCCGTTCTGTTTTGATGATTCCGACAAACACGTAGTCACCCACTCGGTGCGCATCACGAATCTGCGGGTGCCGCACACCTACACACTCGAACGTGATAACGAACCCGATCCTCTGGTACTCGACTGCGAGTACGAAATAGAGCCGAGCGAGAAGGGATTTGTGCTGAAGTGGCTGTTCAACAATCACTCCATCTACCAATGGATACCCTCTGTGAAGGGGTTCGCCATGGTGAGTCATTGTCCCTCCACCTCCTCCGCTCAGAGGGCGGCAAAAATTAATTAACATAAAATTCCTTGCGACTTATCCTTGTAGGGCTTCATGAAGTCGAAGATAGACACCAAAATATTCAGCATGGAGGGCAGTCCCGGTGTTATATCGATAAAGAATCCCGACTGGAACATGACGGGGGAGTACACCTGTGCCGTGCAGACCTTTGAGACCACGGACAAGCGGAGTGCCCGCTTACAAATAATCGGTGGGTGTCACGGTGTCACGGGTGCTATAGCTGGGAGGAGGTGTTGGAGTGGGTATGGGTATAGAGAGGCGACTTGGATTGCTGCCCTTGCCCCATCCTCCCCTCACCGTGTTTGGATAGGTGTGAGCTTTTGCCACGTGTGATTCCCCTTTCATATTTGCATGCGTGTCAGGTGGCAGTCACTGCGGCAGCCGGAACGGAACAGTAACCGCCTGTTGTCGTTGATATTCTTCTTTTATGTTTCTCTTTGGGATATTTCTTTGTTTTGTCTGACACTTGATTAATTTTCACGATTTTTCACCATCTCCCTGCTGGCAGTTCCTGAGTCGGATTTCATGCTGGAGGCACGAATGGGCGGCCCACAGTCGGATGTGGACATAATGTGTGCGGTTCAACACGTCTTTCCACAGCCGATACTGTCGGTCATGTAAGAATATATCTATTGGAGAGCGGCATGCGACGGTTAATAAAATTCTCTGTATTATTTGTGCAGGTTCGACACCCATATACTGGATTTGGTGCTAACGGAGCTGGACCAGGACCCCAGTGGCCTCTACAGCATGACTGTGCGTACGCGCATTCCTAGAGATCAACTCGAATCCCCCACACCGATAACCTGTGCGTTTATCCTGATCGGCACGAACTACACCAAGCGCCGGGAGACTATTTTCTATGGTAAGTAGAGGTAAGACGGAGCTGGTGCGATCCCCACGTGGAACGATGATCACTAACCACTGATAACCCCAGCAGATAAGGCCTCAACTATACAACGCAAGTGGACAACGGTCGCCGTGGTCATGTCGATCGCATCCCTAGCTCTAAGCAGTTAGTTTGGTAGTGTCCTTTGGTGTAGTGTAGGCTATATTTGTTTTTTTTTATGTTTCGTATAGACGTGTTTAACGACTTTTCATTTTTAATAGAATTTTAACGGATAAACGTAATTTTTTGCGGTATTTTTAAAAAAAGCGCTTATTTTGTAAATGCATGTAATTGTAAGGGAATCGAAACGAAACGAAGCAAAAACTAGACACCACAAAAAAACAAAACACACTCCATGCGAAACCCAAACCCGAGAAACACACACAGCAACACACTCACAAACATAACAAATTATTGTATTCATATACATATTTACCACATAAATAAATATATATATATATAATAGTTATATATGATGTATAGGTCTAATTGAGTACAGAAACGCTAATAAAGAAAACAAAAAGAAAAGAAAACGTTAAAAGTGCATTAAACCATACGCCTTCTTATCAACTGAACTCCTTCGAAAAGGCGGAAGAAAACTAATTTAGAAATTCAAACTTGGTGTTTGAATTCCCTCCGAATGCAACTCTGGGTTGTGGGTGTGCAGCCCTGGAGCGGAGTGGGCTCGTGGTTCATGCGCACATACAGGCTGGAAGGGCATTCCAGGCTGCCCATGAGTATGCAGTGAAAATGACAGCAGAGGCAGCAGCCTGAGCAGCAGCAGAAGCAGCGGAATCAACATCTTAGCAAAAAACTGACGCCATAGCATAGCCAGACAAAAGCCAAGGTTCCTGCTGTCCTCTGGCCAGTGGATTGGATAACAATATACATATGTAGGATCGAGGGCCAACATAGAAGCAGCTCCAAATACAGTTTCAATCCGAAGCAAGGCCAAAGCAGCATGTACTACTAACGGTTAACGGTTAAGGGTTAGGGGAAATAGAGAGAAGAGAATTTCGGCCAGGCACGATGGCTTCTGGCGATGGCGACACCATCAACACCATCGACATGGACAGCTCCTCCACATCGCAGGCAAAGCCAGTGGATCCTAGCAATGGTAAATATCCCATCAGTACCCCCTATCAGTTCGTTTCCACTAGACAAAAGGCCAAAGAAAGTCGACAAAAAAAATCAATGAATGGCAAATGGAAGTGTGCGCCCCTGGCGCATGTGTCTCGCGCGTAGGAATGAAGCAGCAGCACCTTCCCCTCCGCCATTTGACGTGCAGACTGACAGCCAGGGACAGGCGGACTAGTTGACTGGTTGACTGGCGGACGGACAATGACAGACCTCATAGGTTCATATTTGTACGAACCTATGGACAGGCAGGCGAAAGTTGATAACAAAGGAAAGTTTCTTGCGTGCATGGGACGGTCAAGGGCGCGGCTATGGCGAGGGGAAGGTGGGGGAGGGGAGAGGCTTGTCCAGCGGTGATTGGCCTAAAATACGTCACGGGCTGAATTAAACATGAAACATGGCTAATAATAAACTGCTTTTCCAAACTAGCCTCCAACGACCATGTGGGTAACTCATCGCCCGAGGTAAGTATATCTGCAACGCACCCCATACACTCGTATTTCTCGTAAATCGTGTACAATAATGGGTTCAATTACTTTCAGTTGGGCAATCGACCCTTGCGCACGGTCAACAACAACAACAAGGCGGACAAGGAGCGAAAGATTGGGCACAGACGTGTTGGCGAGGGCGGCGAGATTACGTACAAGAAGATACAGACATCGCAGATTATGGGCTCCATACAACTTGGCATCCAGCATACCGTGAGATTATCCAGCGTTTATTCAGCTAATCCAAAGGGTCGACAGGGTGTTCATATCATCTGAATTTTCCCAACAGGTCGGCAGCCTGGCATCGAAGCCCAAGCGGGATCTGCTAATGATGGACTTCTGGGAGATCGAGAGCATCACATTTCCGCCAGAGGGTTCCAGCCTTACACCTGCCCACCACTACAGTGAATTTCGATATAAGATCTACGCCCCCATAGCTTTCCGTTACTTTCGCGATCTGTTTGGCATCCAACCAGACGACTTCATGGTGAGAACGATGCTGCAGCCCTTTTGCCGGCGCTTCCCACTGACGGAGACTCTTTTTCCAGATGTCCATGTGCACTTCTCCGCTGCGCGAACTGTCGAATCCTGGTGCTTCCGGCTCTATATTCTACCTGACGAACGACGACGAGTTCATCATCAAGACGGTGCAACACAAGGAGGGTGAATTCCTACAGAAACTACTGCCTGGGTGGGTACCGACTTTTTTTTGATTTTGGCGTAATAGATAGCTAACTCACCATATCCGTTCGTCCTAATCCATTTCAGTTACTATATGAATCTCAATCAAAATCCGCGCACGCTTTTGCCAAAGTTCTTCGGATTATACTGCCTTCA